AATTTGGTGTTTCCTGCTGCTCTGTATTCTTGTAGTCGCTTTATTTCCCTTCGCAGCTCAAATTCCACTGGTTTACCCCAACCGTAAGCAGAAGGGAGATCCAAAAAACAAATGTGGGTCAGTGAGGGTGGCAGTGAACTGTGATGTACATTGCTATTTCTTATTTGTCTACGCAGTTCAGCTATGAAGTACACAGAACCACAGACAGGGTTAACCTCTCTGCACAAGTCTCTATCACATCTCAAACTCACTGTGTCCCAACACTCCTTGATCACAGATTTAATCTGGTTTCTAGCATTTGTGGGCTCGGAAAAGTTATTTTATCTTCATGCTTTGACAGTTCCTTTGCCATACCCTGGACAAGGCAAATAACAATAATGTAGGATTTCTGGAAGGCATTTCAATAAGTTTGAAAAACTATTCCATCCAGGCTCCTCATAGCATCTAATATTGTCTTTGAACTATGATTTTCATAACTGGACCTTCCAAAATTTTTCCTTGCAGACAACTCTTTTTTTCTGCAGTCAGTAAGATTAAATACCCATGTTTCTTTTGCTCGGAGATATTTACTGCCTATAGCTTTTATCAGCTGGCTTCCAGGCATTGCTTAGTTTTACAGCGAGCAAGTTTGCTTGTCTCGGATTTGTTTACTCATACTACTCAGGAGATCTGTATAATGTGTGTACTTGACTATCAGGTTAACTTGAGGACTTTGCTGTCACTACAATAGCAAAACTAGGTTCCAGGACTGGCACTTACATGTGGGACTCATGATTTTGCAGGATCATACTTTTGGTATTTCACACAGGGTGTCCTGAAAATACAGTCACAACTATTTAAATGCTTTGTTCCTTCTAATGAGCAACAATTTTCCCAGTTTAAGTCACAGAATTAAGCAGGATGTAATGACTTGTACTGAAATTTGACTAAATGCATGCTATGATTATGCATAAAGACTCAGGATGATTCAGTGATGGAACAATGCCTCTCCCTTTAAGGTAAGGGACATAATGATGGCTGTACTATATAATTATGTACATATATAATAGTTTAACGTGTATCTTTCAAAGAATTCACGATTTGCTGCCAGCTCCCAATCTCTCAATACAGACATAAATTTTAGGGATTTTATTCTTTCAGTGATATAGAGTCCCAGTAAATGAATAGTGGTCTTTTGATAAGAAAATACTACTTCTAACACATGATCAGAATGTTCAGTCAACTGAGAAATCAAACAAAGAACTCAGACACAGTTTAGTGGAAAAAACCCACTTGCTGCTCATTTAATGTATCAAACCACAAACGTATTTGTTTTTCTGAGGTAGGTAGATGGGGGAGGAAGAGAAAAACAACCTCCTGCCCTCCAGGAGTGGTATATATTTAGGAAAGATTGTAGATGACGCAACCCCTCATTATGCCTATTGAAGAACATATATGCTAACATCCTCAAAATACTTACATGCATGGCTTTCAATGAACTTATCATGCTCTACCGGTCCAAGAATTCGTGCAAATCGTCGCATTGTTTCATAAAGGTCTTGAACCTCCTTTGGATATCGCCTTTCCAAAACTAGAGGGGGGAAAAAGTGACGCACCTTATCACTCCTACTGTGAGAAGAAAATAAATTCAGTGGAACCTGAAGTGACCACCAGCCTCTGTGAAGTGCCCAAAGATCCAGATTTGGTACGCTTCTTGGCCATTTTAGTGTCACAACTACAAATTGCTGAGTAAAAAACAATGAAATTATACAGCCATTAAAAATCTAAAAGCATAAAGGATGATGTTTAAATGTTGTTTGATCATTTCTTAGAATAGTGAGCTGCACTTACAAGGCCTAGATTTCACCTTCACCCCTCTCCCTACTCAGTGGAGCCCAAAATGCTTCTGAAGAGCAATTCCAAGGTAATAACTAAACCACTGAGCTGGGAGTAGTTAGAGCCAGCTGGTTGGAAACAGTCGAGGCAGGAAATCTGCTGAATTCAGACCATCTGAACATGGTCCAGTATGAATAAACCACACTGGTGCACTGGAAACAGTGAACATCTGAAGTTTTGCTTCCCGAGTAGACACCAATTTAAAGTTAAGCAGTTACACCTGATACTCACTCTGAAATTTTCTGAGGTTGATTAGGCCATGATCTCTTATAATTCTGTAATTGAGAGCAGAATGGTATTAATAAAAGGCATTAACTCATGTATTACCTCATAAATACAAAGGCTTCAGAAGAAACTTTGATTTAGACCATCAGAGGGGTCTAAAACTAAACATGTATGAAATTTCCATAGCCCTCGAGCTGGCTAGCTGAGAAACATGACGTAGTGATGCAGCGTGGCTTTAATCAGGGTAAATTTTGGATAGCGGTGTGCATTAGTCCAACTCTCACAGCACTAAGCACAAAGGGAGCTACAATCGCTTTAAAGGTTTGAAATTGCTTCTTTAGGCACAGATTTTGCATCTACAGTGTCTTATAACTCCTTCCAAAATTGGAGGTAAAGGAATGTCTGATGAAGCATGATTTCCAGCCTTCCAGAGAGAGACAAACGTCCTTCTACTAGAGCAAGGGGGAGAGACAGACTGTAAATTTCACCACTGGGAGCAGGATGAAGGAATTTTTCCATGACAGCTTAGCTTTCAAAAAGAGGAAGATGATTTAGGTAACTCATAAGTTTGAAATGCTCCTGACGGGATCAGGGAAATGAGCAGAGTAAAAAGGCAGGTAAGATATTTACAAGCGCATGACAAATACATTTGTCACAGGTTTTGGCAAATGTCATGTGGTCATTGCTATGTGGCGATTCGATAAACACCTGACTTTTCCGAATGATAAGAGATACTACAAAGTTGGGCTCTTCAAGGTCAGGTTGGAATTTGCTCTATAAAATCCATTACATTTTCTTTAGTATGTATAAAAGAATATTCCTGTCCCATGAAGAGAAGCCCTTCTGAGAGTGACATCAGCATTTTTATGTCATTTTCCAGATTTTTGTCCCATCCTGCTGTAGAAACCTTACAAAAACTGACACTGATTTGAGTTATGTAACTGAGCCTTATGGCACTTTCTTTTAGTATGACATGATTTATCATAATGGAAATTACACCTCATAAATATTTTTTATTTATGAATTATAAAGAACCAGGTCAATACACATCAACTCTTACCTGTCATTTAGCAGAACTATGCTGTATTATGAGGAGAAGGAATAGAGGAGTCTTACTCCAAATTAGTAATTCTTCCAGCGGGGAGTAATACAGCAAGATATAATTTTAAATATTGAACAAAGTATTTGGAAGTTATAATAAAATTGAATTTAATGAATAGATTGAGTCATTCTAAAAAGCTGTCAAATGAACTGAATAAATTATTCAAACTCACATCAGTGATATAGTTATCTTCATTACACGTTGTGGAAAACTAACTTATGGACCACTAAGAATTAAAAATAATGATGCAAACATTTCTGTGGAGAAAGTGGGGGTCTAGCAATTAGTCACAGACTGGCAGCTTTTTTTTTTTTTTTCCCTGAAGTAGAAAATGAATTGTGTGCAGTCCATCCGCATTATATAGGGTGCAGAAAGAACAAAGACTTGCCTCTTTTTCTGGTTCCTAGCCCTGGATCTGTGACTGGTTTCCCAGGTAGTATTTCAGTTTCTTATTCTGCAAAATGGCTACGTGATCTCATAAGGTGTGCTAGAAGCTTAGTTAGTTATGTATAACTGGATTTGGGATAGTAATATGAAGACCACTGCATACATGACTTTCATGCACTAAAAAGGACTGGAAAATAGGCCTTTCACAATTAATGACTTGTTTTGAGAGTTTAAAGGAGAGTTATGGTGTGTAGAGGTCCTTTGTCAACCATGTGTACCAGTAAGTATCAGGCTCTGTTAATCTGTGTTTTCTGGGCTGGTACCATTGCTAAAGCCATGTGCCTGATCTTAATCTGTGCACGGAAGGAGAACCACACATCCAAGATGAAGCCTGTCATGCAAATCTCATAGCAGAAGGTCTCCATGCATGGGAATTGTCTGGAAGTATGCTATAGGAAATCATTTATATTTAGTATTAGGACAACACTGGGGACCAAAACATGGTAATGAAGCAAAGGAACACAGTTACTACTTTAAAACTTACTTTTTTCTTCTCTGTCTTTCCTTTAACCTGGAATGATAGATATCTACAACTGCAATCTTCAGAGCTGCAAAATAATAATAATAATAATAAAAAAGATTACAGACTACATAAGTAATCACTGTAGCAGGCTAATTTTCAAGCCTTTATGTTCATGGTAGGCTGAAATGGTCACTCTACTTTGCCATTTTAAAAATCCCGTGGCAATTTTACAGGGGCATAAACTCCCTAGAGGCTAACCTTCTGTAGACTGTACATGCTTTCTTTTGCTTACTCCTTCCAAATACACTACTGCCAGTAAATATGAACCTGGGTAGATCCTGAGAACTCTTTTCCTCTTTCTTCTTGGACTGTTTTACTATTAGCACTTATTTGTTCCTTCATACATGCAATTGTTAAGTATTCCTTCTCCCGAAAAGCAAATGTGTCAGATTTAAGGATCCAAGGTATCATCTTTGGACAAAGGCTTCTTTGCACAGAACAAGGAACTCCGAAAAGTAGAAAGACACAGTTCTGAACTGTGAAGATTCAAAGTAGCCTCTGCTACAGTTCTTAAAAACATCCACAAGATTTCAGCTTGTTAACTTCTAAACCTATCTGTCTGCCAGAAGAACAAAGAGAATAGTTCACGACAATGTGAAGAAGCACAGGAAAAAGCCATGCTCATTAGAAATCATATCCTTTTCAAAATCAAATCTGTCTGCAGTCTGGCTGATCCACTCGGAGATCCTTCAGCTTCTTTTTCCTGTAACCATTAGGTCAATAAACTTTTTCAGTAAGTTCCTGAAAGAAAAGATAAGGAGACACCTATCGCCTTCCCTTCCCTCATTTTGTTAAATAATGCAAAAATTCTAGGTCATTAAATAAGCATAGAGTTGGCTGATTTCGTGGTTGGCCTTTTTTCCTTTACGTTAATCATTTCAATACGTTCTCAGAAGGAAGAGGCTTAAGACTTGACAGTGGGTTTACAATCTATAGAGACAACATGCAGCTCTTTTTGACACTAAGCAAGAGCACGTCCCCTTTCAGCCCACTGTGCTGTGTAAACAGGGGTGGCCCAAGTGTGACAGAATCCAGAATCCACTCCTCTCTCTGTAGTTACAAGAAAAGAGCAAAATTGATACTGGCAGTTTATTGATTGCACTCTCCAATAAATAATTAATAATGCAATTAAGAAAGAAGTGTGGTTATGTGTCTATTTTAAAATATGTATTTCTGTGTAAACACCAGGAAGCCCCTAGCTTCTAGGCAATTCATTTGTGCATTCCTCTGGGTAATAAAATTTCTTATAAACAGGGACAGCTAAAGCCCAAAGGCTGTGTGTATTAGCTCAGGAGCCAACAGTTTTGAGTTACACTTGCTGATCCTGTATTAGCAAAAAAATCTTCAATTTATACAAAACTGATTGGATGTTAATCTAGGGGCAAAAGATTATATGTGAAGATAGGAGGGGTGGTACAATATTCTTACTTCTCTTTGCAAATTTCTTGCAAAACCAGAGTGTTCAAGGATCATAGTTTGTTTTCATAAAGAGGTATTTAAGTTTCCTAATTTAAGAACAAGCGCAGGCAGCAAATTCTCCTTTGTGCTTAAATGTAGGGACAAGAAATTGGGAAATGCAGCAAGTTAAACATGAATGAAATGTATTACTAAGTGTTGGAATCGGTGCCAATTTATGGAAAATATTCTTATATTTTTAAACCCTCTGCAAGCTAACCTAACATGTTATTTTCTGGGGTTTGTGTGGGTAGAACTTAATAAGTACATGCAGAAATTGCATCGGAGAACCTCTATAAATATCACAAGTAATTATGCACCTATAACCATTGCATTTTGATGCTTTCACCTGAGTGCACAATATTCTGAAAGAAATTATGATCAACTGGGGGGGGGGGAAGGAACATTCATGAGAACAAATGAAAGGAAAAAATGGAGCCGCTTCTTACAGAAAAATTAGTATTTGCTGCCACATGCACTTCTGGAGGGGCTTTTGTTTTTAATAGACATATTCACACAGGAACAGCCGATTACAAAATCTGGAATGCATGAATAACTCAGACTACTATACTGTTACATGCTGCATTGAAATGAGAAAAGAGATGCTGTGCGAATGAAAATGATTTGCCTGTGCTTTTCCCCATGGATTATACTAGGGAGGCAGTTGTTTGTACTTGCATCTTAAGATAATCCAAGCTGATACCGTGTTCAAAGTGTCCACTTTGGGAAATGATAAGGTTCTTTGAGATGGTCTGAGTAGCTTTGAAGGATCCAGTGATAGGCACAAATTCAAGGCTCCTTTTTTCATTCCAAAAAATCAAAATATTTTGGTTTCTCAAGAGCGTGTCCAAAACAGTTTCTTTGCTTTTCATTCCTCTTCAGCCTCATTTGGTCTGCAAAAACTTTTTTGAACACTAATGAGTGAGACATTTGTTTCATGCTAGCTAACCTCTGTTTGGCATGCAAGGCCCAAATAATAGGAAGAATGCAAACTAATCAAAGTAAACAGGCTGTGCATCCAGTGTGTGCCTTGGTTGGTACAAACTTAATGGCTATAATCCAATTCACCCTCCCTAGAGGAAAGCAGGACCCTAGGCAAACAGAGTATCTGCCTTCAGAGCAGGTCAGGACTTTCTACAAAAGAATAAACATCATGTAATATTTAGAAGGACATTGACTGCCTTGTATCTTATAAAATGAAATTTCACTACTGTACAGCCAGGATTGCAGTCTATTTTCACTCACTTCTAAACTTGCGGTTTCAGCAATTACTTTCCAGTGTTAGAAGTAAAAATCATTTATACGAGAAGGAAAGGAGAGAAAAAGCCTGGAAAAAGATAAATTACCAAGGTTATAATTCAGTCTGATGAAGACTTGTAATTCATGAAATATTCAAGCACTCTGGTATGAATTAGATTTGTAACTACTTGCTTCTTTTGATCTGCCCATTATGTTTTTGTTTAACTGCAATATATATTTGCATGCACTTTTTATATTGCAAGTACTGAATAGAAGTTAACAGTTCAGTAAGTTAATTGAAATATGAGCGATTTCACACAATTTCTACCATCTCACTAATAGCAAGAAGTGACTGAATGATGCCTGTGACCTCCTGTGTGGTGGGAGGAGCTGGTGAGTCAGCAGGTAGAGGTTTCTGTGTTCCTCATAAAAAGCTGCCTGGGAGTCTTTCCACCTTGTATTAAATTGCACTCTTCTTTCTTGTGGGAGTACTGAGAACTTGTTTGGAGCGACACAGGAAAATACAACAGGGAAAATACAATGATATCAGGAAACAGAGGTCAAGCAGCTTAGATCTAGGACTTTTTATAAAATGTTTTTTACAAAATTTTAAGAAAAGCAGAGCAATATGGAAGAAAGGGAAGAAGGGGAATTCTGTTCCAATGAAAGCATGAAATATTCCTGTGTTACGTGCAACCTAGACATTGCAGCCCTGACCTGCGACTTGTGAAACAAAAGAAAGAAAGAGAGATCATGGAAATTATTCTGGTTGGTGTGTTCTCAGGGTCTAGCTTGAGCAACTTTCAGAAAATAGAATATAAAAGTAGTTTTCAAAAATTAATCTTGAACCCAGTGAGGTTTAACGTATGGCAGAAAAACAAACTGAGGATTTTTTCACAAACCTGATACTTAATCTATGCTGCAAGACCCCATTTGGGTTTCTCTGGGCTATAAAATGTGTTAAACTCCTGTTTTACATCTTTACCTTAAAAAAAAATAAAATTGCTGTTTGGCCAGCAAAAATTTGACTTGAGCAGGTGTGAACGACAGCCACAGGGCTGCTTTTCAAGGACATTTCTGCAAGATCTAGTGTAAGAAGTTTGCCAGTGGGCAGGGCTGGGGTAGAGAGGCGCGTTAGAGCCGCTGCCTGGCAGTAGTGGGACAGGCAGCCTTGGGAGGGATAACGAGAACCTGGGCCCCCAGGGCTGCCTCACAACCTTCCCTGCCTCTTAATTAGAAAGTACAAAGGTTTCTTAAATCATCCAAATGCCTGTCCCTGCCTTCAGATCCAAGTGTTGAGCCATTTTCTACAATATGAAATCCTACGATTAGGTTGCAAAATATTCTCAAGCAATCAAGCAAAGTCAGCATCTGAGATCTTTAAAACTGCAGGACAGGGAGGACGTGGCTCCTTCCTTTTTTTTGTATAAACTTGGAGAAGGGAAAGATCTAATTCCAAAGTTTTTTAGAAGAGAATTCTTTCTCTCCCCAAGATGCCTCATGTAAAAGAAAAACAGCTGGCTAGACCCTGGGACTTCATTTTTTAGAGGCATTTTCTCTCACGTGGGCAGATCTAGGACAGCTGTGGGAAGGAGGATGCCAGAGTTTCTGAGCTGAGAGATTGAAAATGTAGCTGGTCACGCTCCATAAACTCTGCCAAACAGTTTTCACAGGGCAAATGCCTGACATCCCATATAAATACTGAAGACAACTGAATGGACTAGAGAACATCCAATGAAATTATCAGGCAAAAGATCTGACAGACAGAAGGAAGTATTTTTTCACACAACACATAATTAAATTGTAGAACTCCTAACTCAATTGTGGAACTCACTGCTACAGGATGTTACGGGGGCAAAAATACAAATATATATAGTTCTAACAGTAGTTAGCGAAGTTCATGGAGGACAGGTCCTTTGGTCAAAATGGCCTGAACGCAACCAAGTCGTCTCTAAACTTATCACTGCAGGAAATGTGGAAGATATGCCAGGAAAAGTATCTCCCTATACTTGACGTTTCTTACATTCTTCTCTTGTTTGTCTGCTATGGGGTACTAACAGGACACTGAGCTAGGCAGACCAAAGGGTCTGGCCCTGCACAGCTTTGTGATATTCTGAAGAGATGGGGAAAGCTGATTTTTGCACTAAGACTGACAACTTGAACAGGAGGCTGGTAGGAGATGTCTTAAATGGCTGAACTGTGCAGTGGGAGGAAGACAGGTGTGAGGGGTATGGAAGACAGTGCTGGCAAACCAGCTTGAATGAATATTAAGCTCTCAATTAATGAACAGAACTAGGAGATTATTTTGCTTTTTCAGTTTACCACCACTCAGAATAGGACATGGAAGCAAGAAAATATATCTTTTAATAGTAATAAAAAGAAACAGTAGAGAGATGGCATGATGAATCTGTGACATGTCCACAAACCAGTCCCCCTTTCAATAGACATTAAAAGGGAAGAGAGACTGACATAGGATTGTCATAACTTTTTTTGAGCCAAGGGAGTTTACATTCCTTAAAGCTCTGTGTACACTGCTAAATTTCAAACTGATTTTTTTTAAGTTTGGAAAGACTGTCTGTACGTAACAGGATTTGTCTGTCTCCAAGGGATGCTAAGGCTTTAGCTTAGAACTGTCTGATATAGACGGGAGAATTCTGAAGCATAAACACAGTACTTTTAAACACTATATGTACTTATTTATTTCCTAAAGTGATGCCTACTACTGGTGGAGACTACTCGATTTCAATCATGTTCTACTTTACGACTGGCTACATTTCAGCAGTGAGTGAAGTGCATTATTCTATATATAAGTACCATTTGTGCATCAGTTGATTAAGAGCTTTTGAAAGAGATTTGAAAGTGAGGACCACAGAAATGCCAGTGTTTAAATCCCAGCACACAGAAGTGAGATCATTACAAATGTATGTTCACTTTTAAAAAATTGTGTAGAGAAAAAGAGACCCAATGAAATGCTGTGTAGGCACTCTGAAACAATTTTTTCAGACAATGTACAAAAATATGGGACTTACCATGCAAAATGTCTGAATCATCTTCTACAAAATCAATATCTCTCAAATCCCATTCAGCATAGTTGTCAAACTCCTGTTCAGAGGTGATTAATAAATTGTCACTAACTAGCGCTAAAAAATTGGTATTGAGTTTCAGTACACGTAGAAGTACTGAAAGCAGAGATATTTACTCATACACAGTTGTACAAGGTTCCATCCTTGAGCAACAGGCATCACAGGGGAGCTTTAGCTAGGGAATGTATGATATGCACCCCCATGGCTGGAACTGGAACAGGATGCTGTGATAGGATAATGAGAATTAATCAGGTAATCTCCATGACTCCCACACTGCGGTGGAAATTCTGCTCAAATGTACAAAAACAATAAGCCCCTATATGGCTGAATTCATTACTTCATGTACAGGAGCTTGTTTTGCAACAGGAATTGGGGCCCTGGGCCCACAGCTAGAAACACTGAAAACAATGCAGGTCTTTAAAGTGATCTTTGGATCAGGCTCATATGTGCTTCTCTAAGGCAAATGAAATAGAAGCGTGCTGAAGCTGACCCCTTTTGCTAAGCATCTAATTCACAACATCTAGTCCGCTTACATAAGAGCCATTCATGACCGGACATCTGGTGGCAGCAGCACGCCTTACAGCCCCTACACACAAAGCCCGTGACTCACAGATTGCCTGCTAGCAGCTTTGCAGGCCTGCAGCGCCACCTCTGCAATTAAATCCTTGGATTAATCACTCTGTCCTCTCCTCTCTTCTAATGGGTTTTATATGAAGAGTAAAGACCTATAGGCAGGGGCAAACAAGTGTGCGTTTGCTGATCTTGCATTCAGTAGCAAATTTAAAATAATGGGAGAAGAGAGAGTCTTACCTCAACAAAGTCAGCTCTCGCTGGCATGTACCCAGCCATATCCCGGGAGAGCAAGGAATCAAAAGTAGGCCGTGGGGGATCATCAGCAGCTGAAAAAATAAAGGTTTTCAGTTGTTGTGTAGGGCTTGGGGTCTTTTTTTAATGCAAACCGATACGTAAATAGGTGTTTCTTTTGCAGGAAAAGTGGGAATAATTAGTTGAAGAAAAACACCCTGATTGGGCTTTTGTTCAGCGTTATATTCAGAAAAAGACTGCGCTCATCCAGAGAAAAATGCAGTAATCTGAGATCTTCATAGTATTCCCAAAAGTCAAACACATAAATTCAAGGTAATAAATAGGTTATAAAATGTAAACTCTACATTTCAGAACTCAGTATCCCCTCAGTAAACCTCTGCAGATCACTTCGTCTCAGCGTGCAGGTTCTTTTAGTTAATAGCAACAGGGGTTTTAAATCTGCCATCTTCTGGGTGCCATTTACAGAGAGCTGCAATTAAAGCTATACAACTCTGAATTTTTACAGCACTTCCCAACTGAGGAGCTCAGTGTTTCACAGACAATAACGGACCAAGGCTCACAACACACTTGCGAAGGAGCTAAACATTATAAGTCCCATGCTACAGATAAAGCAAGCTGAGGCACAGAGAATTTGTCTTGGCCCAGGTCAGATTAAAAAATCAATGACAGCCAGGGACAGAACCAAAATTGTCCAGTTCCTACTGCTTTCGCTCTAACTGCTTTATCGTGAAATTTAAACCTCCAGATACCAAGCAATCTTTTTACCCAGCCATTCTGAGCTTTATAATGGAACAGCTGCTAGACTGGGGGAATTATAAAGATGCTAAATTTAAGGAAAACTGAAAATCTGTTAAATTGCTGAAATTTAGCATACACTTTTGAAAAGGCAGTTTTAAAGAGAGAGGTGTGAAATCAGCATAGTTTAAAGGGAATGATTTTATGACAAATCACATCAGCAAGTAGGCCCGCTACACAGTGGATAATCAGATGAAATGTTTTAAAGGTAGAAATCCCTTCTCAGTTAACATTGCTACACAGGGTCTGGACAAGAGAAGTAACCACCCCAGCATCAGGGTGAGAACTCGCGCTGGTATTTACCATGAACGACACGCTGTTATATCGTGCCACACGTGAAGTAGCTTTGAGGTAGCTTGTCCTTTAAATGAATGTGCACATCCAGGCTTTTACTGTGGTGATTTCTGAGTGACCATTTCCACTGGCTGTGCAGGAACTTCTGGTTTTGAGAATGTGATGTTTATATCAGACCACTCTGCTCCCTCCGTTTTCCTACTGAACTGGCACTCGTGTTTATTTGATATACCAACGATTTAACACAGTGTGAAGAAAACCCTACTACTAACATTATTCAAGTTAGCCAATTGAACAAGCTCTCCTTTTGGGAATGAAAGCAAACTGCATGTGTGGTGCATGCCTTTCTCCAAAGGGTGCTCATTCCAAGTTTTGGAAGAGAGGAGACCTTGCGAGGGAGCTCCCTGCGTGTGCTAGTGGGCAGGGGATACTCACGGTGGAAAGGAATGACTGTTTCGTTGTGCTGCGCCTCCTCTGCCTGCTTCAGGTTCAGTAATGTAGATGCAAACAAGGGATTGTTGATAAAGTGTTTCATATAATGTTTCTCACACTCCTCCTTGGATTTTGTACACATCTGGTTGGCTACGTCCTGCCTGAAGTGGGGAGAGGGGGAGGCTTAATATGAAGAACACAGACACGTTGAGGGTTTTTTCCTTTCTCTAGTGGGAAAAAGATAATTTTGGACAAAAGACTGATCACATTGTGTGCAGAGAACTGATCTGTGATGATGTCTGAATTCACATTTTGTGTACTAACACTGAGCCAATACTTACACATTTGACACAGTGCTAGGGAGCACTTTTTTGGTGGTCATGAGCAATGCAATTCACTGTCTTTAGATGAGAAACTCCCCAGCTGATGGAATGTACCAAATCTTTTAGATGTTTGAAAATTTAATATTGTTATTTGAGAGCTTTTTAGACATTTTACTAATTCCAGGTAATGGTAAATTCTAAGTCCGGAATTGCATTCTGCTTATCAAGTTTCTCTTGCGATTTTAACTGGATAGTGGTTTCCCCCTTCCTGTAGAGATGTTAAACAGGTTTTTTTTTAAACACTGAAATGGTTGTACAAAACACATTCTAGAAATCTTTGCCAAACTTCCTTGGATAAGTGGTTGACTAGAAACATGAAGTATTTTGTCTTAATAAAATGGCTGTGTAAGTTGAGGACTTTAAAAAAAAAATCCACCAGCAGCAATCATTTTAATTTCTGCTAAACTAAAAACTGGATGCAAGGGATTCCAGGAAGAAAAGTCAGTTTTTCCTTTATTTGGTAAAGGCTGAAAAAAGCCAAGTGTTTAAGGAAAAAGTTAAGATTACTTGTATTGCTAAGTAGGGCAAAGCGTACTAGACGGCACACTTGCAGAACATAACTGCAACCAGTTTTCAGTCTTAATTATGACAGCAAGGTACACATAAGAACTCACAGTTCTGTTTCAGTGAAGTCTCGGGTTCTGCACTTTTAATACAGCTATTTTTTCATGAAGGATAAGGGAGATAACTCATGACTACAGATATGGTTTACTTACAAATGCATAAAAATCCTGTAGCAACTACAGAAATTACCTTAACAGAATATAATGTAAAAATATTAAATATTTCCAGTGCTCCAGAGAAGCAGAAAACCTCCAAAAATAAAAACACCTACCTAGTCAACTGTAAGCAAACCAAAACCACACAAGATAAGAAATTCTGAAAGAAAATTTTCTGAAAGAAAAGTTGGTTTTTACATAGGAGTAAACTGAGGCACAGAAAATCTTGTGAAATAGTTGAGCTCCTTCAAAACCTAGTGACCTTAATGCAAACTGAGGGAACTTTGTACTTCACTGGAGGTGCCCTGCATCTCACAAGAAGCCTTCAACAATTTCCTTGTATATCTAACAGCAAATTTGAGAACAGAACCTGCTACCCCAGTCTTCCACTTTAGCTGCCAAATTAGTGTCTCACCTGCAAGAAGTCATTGAACAGTCAATGCGCACTGATGTATTCAGCAGTAAGATCCAGTGAAATGAAAGGAAAAACTACCCATCATTCACTGAAGTTGGCTGAACCACTAAATTCTCACCAGTTTCCAAATCCACAGTCCATCACAGCTTCTAGGAGTGCCATTTCCTCTTGAGCTGTCCAGTTAGGATCCAAGACAGGGAAATCGGAAGTCTAGAGAAGAAAAAAGCAAATCAAACTGCTGTGATCCTCTGTTACAATCCACCACATGAAGAGCAAAGTTGTTCTAAACTACAGGGCAACACAGTACATAATACTGTTACTGGTAAAAACTTTTAAACTTTTACTGTGTCCCATGAAACCTGATCAAATAATTGTTGAATTATTTAGGGCACTGGGTCATCAACTACAGTAAAAACTAGTTTGTCACTACAGATCTTCTGATATATTGTTACATGTTGTAGCTATCAGCTGTAATTCAACAACGTTATGCTATGAGACACAATAAAAATTACTGAAGGCTTTTAAAATGATTGATTTTGGGGAAGAATAGAGAAACAGAAGTTGATTCACATGGTTAAAGAATTGGAAGTCTAGTGAGATGCAGTGTGCTATCTATCTGGGCACAATAATAAAAAGTAGTTTTAAATGTCTCCACTATTCCGTTACGGTCCAGGTGGATATTTTTCTTTGCTCTAAGGAAGACTTTTTCTTTTTTTAATAGTTCTAAACCTCTGAATCAAAGAACTGTATCACTTAACATTTCAATGTAATAGTAAGCAAGGGTCTAACTCCTGGGAAGTTATGAGAGCTCAAGATTGAGTCAGTGTTATCTAAAAGGAGTATTTACCATTATCTCATAAGTATGGTCACTTTGATGTTTCTTGTATTCAAATCCTCGTGTGAAACACTGTAGAACAAAAGATTAGCATTATGTTAGTCTCTTCTGCCCTGAAAACATTTTAACTGGTCCCTTTTTTCCTTTTATTCTCTGACCACTGGGTATCCAAAACTGACCACCTGATATGCTGAAAAAGATATTCAATTTTTCTGATTTCATTTTAGAAAAAACATAAAATGGTAGAAAAATCTTTGTTAAAATTGTGTTAAATCTGTCTTTGTGTCTTACTTGTCTTTTGCACCAAGACATAACTCCTGGGAATCAACATACTTTTTTGTTAAGTATTTATGGCAAAGTTAGGCAGGTGAAAGAAACTTGGTGGTATGTTTTAAAGTTCCAGGAAGAAGGCACAAAGCATTTCTTAAGTATTGAAAACACAGTTTCCCTTTAATCTTGGTTTTCTGTTTAAAAAGCACCAGCATGGTTTGCAGCTATTTTCAACAGTTAAATTTCTCGTTTTTTAAGTACGGGTAAATGAACAAAAATATACCCAACATACAAAATACGGTTTTGTGTATTTTGTACATATCTCAGCACAAGGCTAAGCTACTTTTTCAGTTTTAGAGGTTATTGCCATTTCTTAAGCATAAATAATGCGAACTTATTTATTTAATAATTAAAACTACCAGTACTTTCTGTGATTATAAGATCACACACATAATTTTTAAAGAACTATATCTGGCCACAAACAATTATTGTCAATATTGCAAACTTTCCCCCAATTTTCTTTTCCATTTGGGAGGAAAAAAAACGTGTGATGACAGGGAAAGGGTGTTTCTTGATGGCTTTTCTTTTCCATGCCATAAAAAATGACAGAAACGATACCTCTCTAGACATGCAGCGGCATGCTCCGTTACATAGTCAGGCTGACTGCATGTCTTTAGGTAGCTTTGGCTGCCTTCACAAAGATCTCCTTCAGCTGCTCATGCCTCAGTTCTTCAGCCTCCAACATTTTCTTTGTCATTTCCCTGTCCCTAAGCAAATAAGTGTGTTGATACAAGTTTACAGAGACCAGTTATTAATGTGTTTATGGAACAGCTTGGTACCGGGCAGGCCTTTGATGACTTTCTCAAAGAAATTAACGCTTTTGCTTTTATCCTTGCACTCACCTGCAAACACAGGAGGAAGGGAGGAGGCCCACACTCAGCACACTTAACGTAGGGCTCTGTGAGGTACGAAGAGCAACCTCGGCATGGAGGCTTATCAAAAGGGTCATCTGTGAAGCCAAAAGTAAACCTCATGCAACACAAACAAGGCACTGGCTTTGCAATCACCTAAATTCACTTGTGCCCAGTGATTTTAAGTGAACTCAACTGTGTATAACCTCTTTCCTACTGCGGCTTCTCCAAATATCTGTTAAAAGTTCCTTTTTCAGCTAGAGTTGCCAGAGAGATGTTGGCACTGCATCCCTGCTAGACCTGATACACTGAGGGCTAGACCTAAACTTGTGCAATGGACTCAAAGGAAAATCTTGTCCGTAGCAGCCTCCTGGTACAACTCAGCAGTGATGCCAGGAGCTGTGCTAGCTGGCTGGTTTGATCCAGTGCCCATGCTCGTGTTTTGCACTGAAGACCAGACCCAAGACCTTATTTGTGGAGAATACTGCGCAGACAGTTGCAGTCTCCCATCCATCTACCTCAAGTCAAACTTGTAAAGCATATTGCTGTGGTTGCAAAGGCATCAACAAGATTGCTCTGTAACCCATCCAAACCTCAGACGCTGCTCAGATTGCTGAACAAGGAATGAAACACTGCTCTGCAAGTTTTTCTTATTTTGTTCATTGCAAAGTAGTCAAAATAAATAGACTGTCAAGTTATAAACCACATTTTTCCAAGAAAACGGATTTGAACTAGCCCAACTATAAAAAGTAGATAGAAAAAAGGACCCAAATTCCCACTGAATCATTCATGTACTCACGCTCTTGAGAATTTGATCAAAGAAGTGACCCTGTAGACCAAATATTGCTAGTTTTCTGTCTCTCTCCCCCAGACGGCTGCTAATGTCTTTAAACAATGGCAAACACTTTCAAATGTCATCTAATGGCACTTACTACTGAAGGAGGCCAGGCGCTCCATTCCTCTCCCTCGGCAGTGTCCTTGCTCCTCTTAGTAACACTTATCTTGCCTAAAAGCCTGTAGCGTAAGCCTTGCCCCAACCAGTATGTCCAAGCAGGATATTCTCTCCCTGCAGATGTCTCTCACGCAGCCCTCGCAGATGAGATCCTCCCAGAGCGTCCTGAAGACAAAAGCAAAAAGGCTGTCAGCAGTCTTCGTAACAGGGACCATTTGACATGGCTGAGAGTCTGTTTTCTGTGTATGAGAAGAAATCACATGTGGAGAGACGGGATACAGCATAAGAAGAGATGAGAAGTGATGGGGATATAAGCCAATCCTGAACCGAGGCTTTCAGTGGGAATGTATGTGCTGAGCAGAGAGTTGTGAACAGTTGTTGTGCAAGGAAGTGTTTTGCACCTCCAAGAAGCACCAGGAAGAGAACGAACAGGTTAGAAGTGGCATGGACACAGCAGTGCAAAAATCTACCATGCTCACGCCAACTACACTCTCAGTGTTGACTGTGCGGCAGTTCCTATGAACAGGCCTGATTCACCAGCACCTGTACAGTGAGGTTCTACACTGCTGTCCGCCATCAGGGAAGTGAGTTGCTGTCCATTGTGGGATCTGTAACATGTCTCACTTTTACAAGGTATTTTTGCTGGGAACGGCTCAGGCTTCTCGCTTATTGAAATTCATGTTTCTCTTCCTAGAGTTTTCTCCTCCATGCACCACGTGAGGAGGCATGGTCCTGCATCCAGGGACACCACTGAAGCTGTGCAGCCCCTCCACGCAGATGGCAGCTGCTTCCATCCCCGTTACACATCCCTGTACCTCTGCTTTGATCCTCAGACAACCAAGAGCAACTTCCAGGCTGGACTTTTTACCCCGTGGCCGTAAGTGACACCGCACAGCCACCTCTGGGCACTCACTTCACTCTGTGAACTGCAAACCACTGTAGCCCTGGCTACAGGGCTGCTTGAACCCGCTGGTGCAGCACCAGCACCAAGCACAGCAGCACAGGCCATTCTGGCACCAGCCCCATGCACTCCCCCATATCCCACTCCCCAGTCACAGAATCATAGAATCGTTTAGGTTGGAAAAGAGCTTTAAGATCATCAAGTCCAACCGTTAACCCAGCACTGCCAAGGCCACCACTAAACCATGTCC